GTAATGGTTGAACTAATTTACATTCTCACTAAAAATGTACAAGGGTTCCCTTTTCTCCATATCCTCACCAATGTTTGTTATGTTTAGTCTTTGATAACAGCCGTTCCAACAGGTCTGAGGTGATATCTCATTGTGGTTTTAATTTGAATTTTCTTGATTAGTGATACTGAGCATTTTGACACTGTTGACCATTTGTATGTGTTCCTTTGAGAAATGTCTATTCAGATCCTTTCCCTATTTTTATTTTTATTTTTTGAGACAGAGTCTCACTCTGTTGCCCGGGCTAGAGTGCTGTGGCATCAGCCTAGCTCACAGCAACCTCAAACTCCTGCCTTTCCCCATTTTTAAATTGGGTTTAAATTGGTTTATTTATTTATTTTTTTTACTATTGAATGTTTTGAGTTTCTTATATATTTTTGGATATTAACCCCTTATCAGATGTATGGTTTGCCAATATTTTCTCCCATTCTGAAAGGGGCCTCTTTGTTGATGGCTTCCTCAGCTGTGCATAAGCTTGTTAACATAATGTAGCCTCCTTTATTTATTTTTGCTTTTCTTGACTGTGTTTTGGTGTTCTAACTGAAAATCCATTGCTCAGACCAATGTCATGGAGCTTTCCCTGTATATTTTCTTCTAGTAAGTTTACAGTTTCAGGTCTTACATTTAAATCTTTGGTCTATTTTGAGTTTATATTTTTTATATGGTGTGAGATAAACATCTAATTTCATTCTGCATGTGGATACCCAGTTCTCCTGATGCTATTTATTAAAGAGACTGTCATTCCCCATTGTGTGTGCTTGGCATCTTTGTTTTAAATCAGTTGAGCATAAATACATGGATCCAAACTCTCTATTTTGTTCCATTTGTCTATGTCTCTATTTTTATGCCAGTACTATCCTGTTTCAATTACTATGAATTTGTAGTATATTTTAAAGTCAGATAGTGTGAGGCTTTCAGCTTTGTTCTTTTTGTTTAAAATTGCTTTGGCTATTCAGGGTCTTTTGTGCTTCCACACAAATTTTAGATTTGTTTTTTCTATTTTTGTGAAAAACACCATTGGAATTGTCATACGGATTGCATTAAATCTGTAGTGCACTTTGAGTAGTATAGACATTTTAACGATATTAATTCTTTCAATCCATGGACATGGGATATCTTTCCATTTCTTTGTTTCTTTTTCAATTTCTTTAGATGTCTTAGAGTTTTCCATGTAAAAATATTTCACTTCCTTGGTTAAATTTATTCTTAAGTATTTTTTGTACTTATTGTAAATTGGATTGTTCTCCTGATTTCTTTTTCAGATAGTTTATTGTTTGTGTGTAGAAATGCAACAGATTTTTGCACATGGATTTTGTATCCTTCCACTTTACTGAATTTTTTTCTTAGTTCTAGCACTTTTTTGGTGAAGTATTCAGGGTTTTCTACATATAAGATCATGTCATCTGCAAATAGGGACAGTTTAACTTCTTCCTTTCCAATCTGGATGTCTTTTATTTCTTTTTCTTGCCTAATTGCTCTGTATAGGGCTTACATTATTATATTGAGAAGAAGTGGTGAAGAAAGTGTATCCTAAGATTATTCCTGGTCTTAGAGGGAAAGCATTTGACTTTTCACCATTGAGTAAGATGTTAGCTGTGGACTTATCATACATGACTTTTATTGTGTTGTGGTCCATTTCTTCTATAGCTAATTTGTTGAGAGTTTTTATTATGTTGAAGGTTTTTATCATGAAGGAATGTTGAATCGTGTCAAACGCCTTTTTTCTCCATCTATTGAGATGATTATATGGTTTTTGTCCTTCATTTTATTAAGGCAGTGGGTGACCTTTATAGATTTGTGTATGTTGAATCATCATTGCATACCAGAAAGAAATTCCACTTCATCATATTGAATATCTCTTTAATGTACTATTGAATTTGATTTGCTAGTATTTTGTGGAGGATTTTTCATCTATGTTATTAAGGATATGTGCCTGTAATTTTCTTTTCTTGTAGTGTTTTTATCTGGCTTTGGTATCAGGGGTAATGCTGGCCTCATGAAATGAGTTTGGAAGTATCCCCCTTCTACATTTTTTTAGAAGAGTTTGAGAAGAATTGATATTAGTTCTTTAAATGTATGGTAGAATTCAGCAATGAAACCATGTGGTCCTGGGCTTTTGCTTGATGGGATGTATTTGATGGTGGGTTAAATATCCTTACTTTATACCGATCTGTTCCAATTTTTCTATTTCTTTGTGATTCAGTCTTGGTAAGTTGTATGTATCTAGGAATTTATCCAATTCTTTCTTCCAGGATATCCAATTTGTGCATAATTTTTCATAGTATTCTCTTATGATCCTTTGCATTTCTGTGGTATGAGTGGTATTGTCTCCTCTTTCATTCCTGATTTTATTCATTTGAGTCTTCTTTCTGTTTTCCTTACTCTGTCTAAAGGTTGGTGAATTTTGTTTATCTTTTCAGAAAACCAATTCCTTGGGTTTTTTTTTTTTTATCTTTTTTTTTTTTGGCTAGCCTCTATCTGCATAATTTTTGATATTATATTGATCCTTTGCATTTCTGTGGTATGAGTGGTATTGTCTCCTCTTTCATTTCTGATTTTATTTATTTGAGTCTTCTTTCTGTTTTTCTTACTCTGTCTAAAGGTTGGTGAATTTTGTTTATCTTTTCAGAAAACCAATTCCTTGGGTTTTTTTTTTTTTATCTTTTTGTTGTTTTTCTAGCCTCTATCTCATTTATCTCTGATATGATATTTATTATTTCTTTCTTTCTGCTAGGTTAGGGCTTAGTTTTTCTTCTTTATCTAGTTTCTTGAGGTGTAAGATTAGTATTATTTGACATCTTTTCTCTTTCTTAATGCACATGTTTATTGCTATCAACTTTCCCTCTTAGAACTGCTCTTACTGAGCCCCACAAGTTTTGGTATGTTGTATCTCCATTTTCTTTTACCTGAGGATATTTTAAATTTCCTTCAGGAGCATGTTGTTTACTATCCACATGCTTATGAATTTTCCAAAATTCTTCCTGTTATTCATTTCTAGTTATATATCATGGTGGTCAGGAAAGATACTTGACATAATTTCAAATTTTTTGACTTTTTAAAGATTTGTTTTATGGCCTTTTATATGATTTATCCTGGAGAATGTTCCATGTACAATTAAGAAGAATGTGCATTCTTCTGCTGTTGGTTAGACTGTTTTGTATATGCTTGTTAGGTCAATTTGATCTAAAGTGTAGTTTAAGTTTAATGTTTTCTTATTGATTTTCTGTCTGGATGATCTGTCCATTCTAAAAGTAAGGTTCTGAAGTTCCCTACTAAAATTGTATTACAGTCTATCTTTCCTTTGGCTCTATTAATATTTCCTTTATGTATTTAGTTGCTTGGGTGTTGGGTGCATTTACTTTTATAATTATGTATCATCTTGATGAATTGACCCCTTCATCATTTTATAATGACCTTTTTTCTCTTCATTTACAGTATTTGACTTGAAGTTTATTTTACCTGACATAAGTATAGCTACTCCTTCTTTCTTTGGTTTCCATTTGCATGGAATATCTATTTCAATCTTTTCACTCTTACTCTATGTGTGTCCTTAAAGAAGAAGTGAGTCTCTTGTCAGCTGTATATATTTGGGTAACTTTTTTTTACTCCTTCAGCCATTCTTTGTCTGTTGATTGTAAAATTTAATCCATTCAAATTTAGGGTTAACTATTGCTAGATAAATAATTACTACTCCCATTTTTTAAATTGATTTCCAGTTGTTTTGTTTATTCTCCTTCCTTTCTTCCACTCTTGCTGTCTTCCTTAGTGTTTAGGTGATTTTTCTCTAGTGTTAAACTTCGATTTCTTTTTATTTTTATATATTTACTATGGGTTAGTTTATGGTTAACGTGAAGCTTATAAAAAACATCTTATACTTATAACAGGCTATTATAAGCTGAAAACAACTTAACTTTGATCACATACAAAAATTCTGCACTTTTCCTCTACCCCCTCAATTTAAATTTTTGAAGTCACAATTTACTTCTTTTTATATTGTGTCCCTTAAAAATTATTGTAAATATTATTTTTGCTTTTTATCTTTTATCCTTCATACTTGAGATATAAGTGACTTATATACAACCGTTACTATTAGAATACTCTGTATTTTGACTGTGCTCTTATTTTACCAGTGAGTTTTATACTTTCTTATGTTTTTATATTATTAATCAGCAACATATTCTTTCAGCTTGAAGAACTTCTTTTTGATTTCTTGTAAAAACAGGTCTGGTGCAAATGAATTACCTCAGCTTGTGTTTGTCTGGGAACATCTATGTCTCCTTCATTGCTAAAGGACATTTCTTAAAAATACAGTATTCTTAGTGGGAAGGATTTTTTTTCCTTTAGTCTTTTAAATATATCGTCCCACTCTCTTTTGCTTATAGGTTTCTGCTGAGAAATGCACTACTAGCCTTATTGAAACACCCTTACATACTATTTGCTTCTTTTCTTTTGCTGTTTTTTGGATCCTGTTTTTGTACTTAACTCTTGGCAGTTTGATTATAGTATGTCTTAGTTTAGTTTTGTTTGGATTGAATCTCATTGGAGATTTCTGATCTTCATGTACATAGAAATTTATGTCTTTCCATAGATTTGGAACATTTTCTGCTATTATTTCTTTAAAAAAGCTTTCTACCCCTTTGTCTTTTTCTTCTCCTTTATGAATTCCTATGACTCAAGTATTAGCTTTTTTAATGTGTCTCAAAAATCCTGCAAACTTTTTTCATTCCTTTCATTCTTTTTTCTTCTCTGACTGTATATGTTCAAATAACCTGTCTTTGAGTTCACCAATTCTTTCTTTTACATTATCAGTTCTGCTGTTGATACTCTCTGTTGCATTTTTCATTTCATTCATTGTATTTTTCAGCTCCAGAATTTCTGTTTTATTTTCTTAATAATGTCAATATCTTTATTAAAATTCTCCTTTTAGCAGTTTATTGTCTCCCTGATTTCAGTGAATCATTTTTCTGTATTTTCTTGAAGTTATCTCCGATTCCTTAAAACAATTATTTTGAATTCTTTGTGAGATAGTTTTTTATTTCCATTGCTTTGTGGTCAACTACCAAAAGATTGTGCTGTTTTAGTGGTCTTATATCTCTTTGGTTCTTTTATGTTTCTTGTTGCCTCACATTTATGTCTGTGCATATGAGGAAGTAGGGACTTATTCCAGACTTGCCAACTGACTTGTCTGGGAAAGACTTTGAGCCCATGAAGAGATTTTGGGAAAGAGAGAGTTATCAATGGCAGTAAAGAGCCCCGTGGGAAAACAAATGAAAATTCTTCATTCCTCACTATTTGGCCCAGGGGCAGAGATCTCCAGCCAAGGATGCCAAAGTAATTCCTGTTTTGTGCCATTGACAAACATAATAAAGGAAAAGCCATTTTTTAATTCAGAAGAGAAGCAGCAAGCCCAAGCAAGAACTAACCATAACCAGGCATCTGACACAACAGGTAAGGCTGACTGGATGAATTTGTAGCTGTGAATCACAGGCTACCAGTTAAGGGGCTCAGGCACTTCATCAGGGCCCATTGGGGAAGTCCAGGTAGCCTGGGATGGGGGCAGAAAGGGGAGGGGGCCAGCACCTCAAGCAGTGAGCCCTCAGCTTAACAGAAGAAAGTCCCTAGGAATTGGGAAAATACTGAAAGACAGAAATGGAGGTAATAAATATTGATGTCAAAGAAGTTATTTCTTAAGGAAGAAAGGAAGGCATGGGGAAGAGTCAAAGACTGGATTAATAAAATGTGGTATATGTATACCATGGAGTACTAATCAGTCACAAAAAAATAACGGTGATCTAGCATCCCTTGTATTATCTTGGATGGAGCTAGAGCCCATTCTACTAAGTGAAGTATCACAAGAATGGAAAAACAAGCACCACATGCACGCACCTTCAAACTGGTGTTAATTGATCAACACTTACATTCATATATAGTAGTAACATTCATCAGGTATTGGGCAGGTGGGAGGGGGGAGAAGGGGATGTGGATATTCACATCTAATGGGTGCGGTGTGCACCATCTGAGGGATAAACATGCTCGTAGCTCTGACTGGGGCAGAGCAAAGGCAATATATGTAAACATGCATCTGGAATGACTCACTCTTTTTTGGACACACACAATCAACATATATTAACATATCAGACACTACATTCTTCTGAGATCTTTTTAAAGTCAATCCTTTGTGCTATCTTTAACTCTACATCTCTTAGACCTGGGACTTAATTTCTACAAATTCCCTGAAGAGTTACAATTGAATGATGTTTTTGTAAAACACTACTATTTGTGATGCAGTGTCATAAACAAGAGATGTTGGTGTTATTTTTCTACTTTCTCAGAGAGAAAAACTGCCATTCCTAGACCTTTGAGGAGAAGAAGAAGAAGAAGAGGCAGAAAAAGAGGTAAAAAGTGTGATCAAAACACTTTCAATAGCTAACCATCTAGATTTTTATTTTATACTCCATGCTCTGAATGAAAAATCAATTTTCTTAACTGGCTGAGGGGCAGCCAGTACAGGAGCCACAAACTTGGCCATAAGTTCATTTTAAGACATTCAATACCTGCTTCAGCTAAATCCAATCCCTTGTGCCCCACTCACATGGTGTGTGGGGCTCCCTGAGCAACGTGAAGTATCATTTTTATTGATTCATTGAGTGATACATAATAGATGTACATGTTTTGGGGGTGCATGTGATAATCTGATACTTTCATATAATTGAATCAGATTAATTGGGATATCCATCACTTAAAATACTGATCTTTACACTAGGAACATTTGAATTATTCTCCTCTAGCTATTTTGGAATGTACAATTAAAATTACCCGTACAGCCCCTATTGATCCATCACATACCAGTTCTTATTTCTTCTATCTAACTGTAGAATTATACCCATTAATCAACCTCTGCTCATCCCCCTCCTTCAGTGAGCAGTTTTTTCTAGAACCCCCGCCCTGAGCTTCCCTTTCAGCAACAGAGAAAGCTCAGATGATGGAGTGTGAAGCAAAGCAGACGGCAAAGGGGGAGACAGACACCAGCCTGTCTGGTGTCTCGTGTGCTGCCCTGCTGCCATCCTGCTCTCTGTTCCCCCAGGCGATGCCTCAAATAGGGAGACAAGACTAAAATTTGACAGGTTTTCTCCATTTCCATAAGTTCAAACCAATAATAGGTCTAGAAATATCCCTTCAAATCACCAGGAGGAAAGTCACTGTGGGAGCAGTGAATGTGGCCACCGAGCTTGAGAGCTCAGACCCTGCTGCCCCGGGCTGTTGGGTGGGATTTTGGAGGATGGAGCAGAGGATGACATTATCTACAGGTATTTTGAAAGAAAGACCTTGAAGTGTAACTAATTCCTGGGGTAAAATCCCTCCAATCTATTTAAATTATAAAAGAAGGATCTTTCATCTGCAACAAGAGAAGTCCTCGTATAGCCAAAGCGATCTTAAGCAAAAAGCACAAATTGAGAGGCATCAGTCTGCCAGACTTCAAACTTTACTACAGGACTATAGTAACCAAAACAACATGGTACTGGCACAAGAAAAGAGATATAGACCTTTGGAATAGGATGGAGATCCCAGATAAAAACCATTCTCATATAGCCATCTAATCTTCGACAAAGCAGAAAAAAGTATACATTGGGGAAAAGAATCTCTATGCAATAAGTGGTGCTGGGAAAACTGGATATCCACATGCAGACGATTGAAACTGGATCCCCACCTCTCACCTCTTGCAAAAATCAACTCACGATGGATAACAGATTTAAACCTGAGGCGCGAAATCTTAAAAATTCTGGAACAAAATGTTGGGAAGACTCTTTTAGACATTGGCCTAGGTAAAGAATTTATGAAGAAGACACCAAAGCAATCACAGCAGCAACAAAAATAAACAAATGAGACCTGATCAAATTAAAAAACTGCACAGCCAAGGAAACTATCATTGGAGTGAACAGACAACCTACAGAATGGGAGAAAATATTTGCTTTCTGCATATCCAATAAAGGGCTGATAACAAGCATCTATACAGAACTTAAGAAAATCAACAAGAAAAAATCAACCAACCCCATCAATAAATGGGCAAAGGACATGAACAGAAACTTTTCAAAAGAAGACAGACTAATAGCTAGCAAACATATAAAAAAGTGCTCAACATCTCTAATCATTAGGGAAATGCAAATCAAAACTACAGTGAGATATCTCCTAAGTCCAGTGAGAATGGCCTCTATCAAAAAGTCCCAAAATGCTGGTGTGGATGTGGAGAGATTAGAATACTCTTACACTGCTGGTGGGACTGCAAATTAGTACAACCCACGTGGAAAGTAATTTGGAGATACCTCAAAGAGCTAAAAATACAACTATCATTTGATCCAGCAATTCCACTACTAGACATCTATCCAAAGGAAAAAAATACATTCTGTAATAAAGACATCTGCACTCAAATGTTTATAGCAGCACAATTTGCAATTGCAAAGATGTGGAAACAACCCAAGTGCCCA